TTTGGGAATTTGAGAATTTGGGGATTTGAGAAATTTGGAATTTGAGAAATTTGAAATTTGAGAATTTGGGGATTTGAGAGTTTGGAAGTTTACTAATGTGGGATTTGAGAATTTGGTAATTTAGAAATTTGTGAATTAGCTAAGGGTGTTTGAGGATTTGTACATTTAAAACTTATCAACTCGAAAATTTAGTAATTTAAGAATTTGAGGAGTTGGAAATCTAGAAATTTAGGTACTGGATTTGAAAATTAAGAAATGTAAAAACTAATAAACTTGAAAATTCAATTATTTAAAAATTTGAAAATTTGTTAATATCTAATACAAATTATATGAAATATCCTATAGTAATAAATGCATTACATCCCTCAAGAGTTTTAAAAAGCTAGTAATGAAGGTTTGATATAACTGACGATCCACCACTTGATCATACCTGATCCATGATCGATATTTACCCAAAATCTTCAATAAAATTCTTACCGTGAATCGACGACAAAATATAAACAAAACGATCATTTACAAGAACACCGACACGATAAAATTTTCAATTTCTAAGGTCTTAGTTATATAATACATCTGTGAATCGGTATAGTATACGATAAAAGTGGCTTCATGTCGTTTACAATGCAATTAACAGTTCAATTGTACTCCGCTAAACTTTCTAAATTGTCAATAAGAAAATATATATAAGTAGTGTGATATTGTTCTCTGCTAGGACCACTTGTTATGTCTTGTAGTAGCGAAGCAGCAATGTAATATTTTTTGACTTATTTTTTCATATAATCAGCACTTTTGATTCCTCTGCGCTTTTGAATCATACTGAAAGCAGAAAAAAAATAATAGTCGCAAATAAATTCGAAACGAATGTATCACAATGAAACTACAAATAAACATAATTTACAAACATACATAGATGGCAATAGATGGCATGCACAATGAGAGGTAGATGAGAGTAAGCGACACGTAACAAACAATCCTTTTTAATCCTGTCAGATTAAATATATCGGTGAGAAATATTTCATTGATCTTTTTTATTCGTTTCTGAACACGCGCGGTAAAATAAATATAAGTTTTTATACAGAATTTTTGATTTATCTACTTTAAATATTCGAGGAGAATTAGTACTATTAATCAGTTTTTAGTCGCCTATCAATTTTGATATCATTTTACTTATGTTATTAAGATTTTATGATTTTAGGATCTTATTCTGTCATTTTTAAAGTGAGTTTTTAACTGCATTCGTGCAGTTTGTTATTACAACAAAAATATTAAATTAGAATATATTGGAATTGAATCGAGTTGTAAAATATTTACGATATTTTTCTGGTATCAAATATTTTAGGATAAATCGGTTTTACTATAAATACAGCGTGTTTCATAACTAGTGTCCCTGAAAAGGGGGTAGCTGACGCGATTCTGAATAAAATTTCCCTTTGCAAAAATGGGATTTGAAGCTTCGTTTTTGAATTATTAAGGAAAAACGCGGACCAATCAGAGCGCGAAGATTATTACGCGTTGGACTACTACGCGTCGAATATCCACGCGTTGGATTACTACGCGTTGGATATCCACATGCTGGATTACTACGCGTTAGATTACCACGCGTTAGATTCCTACGCTTAGAATTACCACGCGTTGCATTACTACGCGTTGAATTACTACGCGTAGAATATGCACGCGCTAGATTACTACGCGTTGGATATCCACACGCTGTATTAGTACGCGTTGGATTACTACGCATTG